CATTATTTGATTTTCTATTGACGTTTGTGTAATTTTTCTAACATGCAATTTTCTCATCTAATGTTCTTCAATTAATCAAAAAAATATTAGCAAATTCACAAGTTGACGGATCAAACTCAGACAAACTTTCTTTTAAATGAAGTGGAATTTTAAGGTTTAGTATTGGGGTTTTTACAAATGCATAAGTCTCTATTAAAGTTACAGACGTTGGAATTGAAACTGAGGTTAATTTTGAACAATTATAAAAAGCAAATTGTTTAATTTCTTTTAATGAAGGAGGTAAATTTATTGAGCTAATACCAGAATTTATAAAAGATTGTTCTTCGATGACTGAAACTTTATTAAACAAGTCATTTTCTATAAAGTTAATATCTTGTTTTGTATAATGAATGTTATTACATTGTGTTGATGAATTATCGAATAGAATAGCTTCAAATAGACTTACTGGATATTGAATTTTCTTATTATTTCTTTGTACTAACTTTGTGATTGAAGAAGAATCAAAAGCATCAAAAGCAATTGAAGTTATTGAAAAAGGAAGTACCAATGATTTTAATCCACAATGAAAGAATGCTTTATTTTCTATTGAAGTAATGCCTTCTGGTATAACAATGTTTTGTAATGAAATACACTCAAGAAAACAATTTGGTGGGATTGAACGAATATAAGGAGAAAGAATGACTTCAGTTAGTCTCGTATTATATTCAAAACAACCTCTTCCAAGTTCATAAACACTTATTGGTAATTCAAACCTCTTTAATAAGCATCCTTCAAAACATCTAGCTCCAATCCGTTTAACTTTATTTGGGATAGTTATTTTTTGAATACTTTTACTAAATGCTTCATTTCCAATAACTAACAAATTCTTTGGTAAATCAACAGTAGTTAATTGTGGACATTTTTTGAATGCATAATTTCCTATAGAAGTTAGAGATGATGGAAATACTACTTTTCTTAATAACTCACTTGAATTGAATGTATTTATTTCTATTGAATTAATTTTATCAGGAATAATATAAGTTTTCATTGAAAAAGGTGTGACTTGGTCATGAATAGTTTTTAGTTGTGTTCCTAGAGTTCCTATATAATTAATTAATGTTGAGTATTCCAACACATTCATTTCAGTTAGCTTTAAATTACGAAATTCCATTTTATTTCTAATAAGTTCAGGAAATTCAAGGTATTGTTTATAATTAATATCATATGCAATAATATACCTATACATTCCTTCTTTGATTTTATCTACTTTACTATACAAAACTTGAGTTTCAATATTATGAAATAACTTTAAATCTCTATGAGGATTATATTTATATTTATCTAATAAATCACGAAATTTAGAATTGACAAGTATAACTCTTCTGTAGTCATCACTTGTCATGAGATATTTACCAACAATCATCATAGAATATGCATCAATCTTACGCATTTATTCTTTTATTTTTTAAGTTTTAAATTTAAAAAAAGAGTTATTTTATTAAATGATATTTTAAAAAATAATTTTCAATTGTTAATAGTATTCATTCTACAAATACTTTTAATGTTAGTTTATTATTTGGCCCATATATTGATTGAAGAGTTTTCTTATTGTCCAATTCTTTTTTACAACAAATCATTTTCGTATATTCACATGGTGTTGTTAATTGATTAATGAATGCCTCTGGTTGTTTATTCATTACAATTTCATACATCCTTTTTAAATCAGCAATTTCTACATCTAATGAGGGGATGTCAAGACATGCACTTTGAATAGTTTTTATAGCATTATTAATAACTCTTTCTTTCATTTCAATTAGGTGAGGTGCAATTAATTGGTCAATCTCTATTTCTTGACATTTTTTGATTGCCATTATTTTAGGAAGAGTTGTGTTAATCAAATTTAGGATTTCTCCAACTGTTTCTTCATTACTAAATTCCATTAAGAATTGAAATAATTCATTTACAACTTTTAACAGAACCATTTCTATTTTTATAGTTCTTCGTTTATTCTTTTCAATTTATTAAAAAATTTCTTTTCATTTTTTAAAAAAAAAGTACTTAAAGCATAAAATAAATGATGAGAAATAACTTAATGAACTACTGATAAAAGAAAATGAATAATGTTACAAATATTGAAAAAGCGTTAAATTAAAATCAACAGTTTTGATTTGGGAATATGTATAGATTTAAATGTTATCTTAATATCCATTCAAAAAATTAAAAAATAACAAGAGAATATTCACTAAATGATAGTAGTAATTTAGTGGTGCAACTAAATTATTCTTTGGTTGAATTCAAAGACAATTCATAAATAAATAAAGATTCAGTTAGTAAGAAATAATTAGAATAGATTATAAATAATATAAGACTATTAAATTTTAATTTATTCTATAATAATAAAAGAATTTTAGTTATACAAAATATAATAAATATTTTATAAATATATTCGTTGTAAATTGATTGAAAAATAACAAGAATTAATAATTTCGTTTGTTAATTTAATTATAAGGAATTTACATAAAACTAATCAATCTCCTATCATCTGATGTTTTAAAAAAAAATAAATGAGAATATTGGATTGATAGATAACTTTTTGGTTCAAAGATAATAAAACTCAACCCAATTATATTTTGAACTATCACAGTCATTTAATATAGTTATAGTAAATTTAAAACTAAAAATAATTTAACAAATCAAAAGAAAAACAAATTTTAAAAAGTACAGGGTTTTTAAAACATTATTATTAAAACTGTTTATTGATACTTAAAACTATAATGTTGAAAGAAATAATAATAAAATAATAAATGATTGTAAAACATAAAAAGCTATTTTGCCTCATACCCTTTTTTTATTCTTTTATGAAGTAAAAATTCAAAAATTAAAAGGATAAATGGATTTAATGATAAGAAAAAAAGAAATAAAAAGGAAAAGAACTTAAAAAATTATATCAATGGATATTAACCAAGCACTTCAACTTATTACAAAAAAAATCACATCACATGAAATTTTGATGAAGGAAGTTATAATGGAACTAACACATATATCAACACAATTAGATGCAGTCAATTATCTTACACAGCCAACTGTTCGTGAGCCAATCAAAAAGATATTGATGGAACAATTTAGTCTTAATGATGAAATAGTTACCCAATATTCAAAGCAATTCAACCAAATTATTCCTGAGCAAGCAATTCATTTCGATGACGTGGCACAATTTGAGTCATATGTAATTGTTATGATAAATAATCAAAACAATCCATACTTAGAGAAACTCGTTGAATTAGTTGACCCGTCATCATTTAAATACATTGATGTATTAAAGAAATACTGTTATGACAAAATATTAATGAAACAAAATAAAGACCTTAGCAATAAGAATGATAAGTTAGTAGCTAAAATTGCTGTCATAGAGTCATTATTAAAAGACGCTAACTCTGAAATTAAGACTCTTCAAACAGAAAATAATTCACTCAAATGTTCTCTTCAAAATTTAGAAAATAAAATATCTGATTTATCAAGAACTCCTACTTCTGTAAAGAAAGTTTTAACAGAAAACCAACAACTAGGTTATAATGAAAGTAAAACACCTCAAAATAATGTTAATAATAGTATGGATGTTTTTAGTACATTTTTCAAGAAACCTATGTTACAAAAATATTCTACTAAAAGTAGTAGTTCTAGTGATGAAGAAACTGATCAAATGACTTTGGACGGAAGATCTGTTTCTTTAGGATTTTCATTTCCAAGTTTACCTATGGAAGAGACAATAAAAATGAAAATTGATGATATTGTAGAACAGGTCATGAGTGATTTGGTTAAATTAGCTGGATGTAAGCAAGGAGCAATGGTTATGGCTGTTAAGAAAAGTAAGACATTGACTGATGTGTTTAATGCAACTAAAGGGTGTCAAAAATTTATGATGATATATCAATTGAATAGTGGTGAATTATTTGGTACTTATCATTCAGTTCATCCAAATACACTTGGTGTTGCAGTTCAAGACAAACATATGTTTGCTTTTACAATATCAAACCCATTCAATGTTCCAACACAAAAATACAATTGGTTAAGACCTGATGAAGACGCATTTAAAATAAGTGAAACAGAAGTATTTATTGGAGGGTTAGGTGTATTTACTGATAAGCGAAATGGGTACATTTATGATGAAAACGAACCAGTTGATTTGTATTATTCAGACATGCCAATTCAGGCAAGAAAAATATTTTCTACTCGTTTAGCTCCAAAGAAATTCACTTGGAAAGAAATGGTTGTAGTAAAATTGGTATAAAATTTTTAAAATTCACTCTTGTGGTTGTGAAGTTTAACTACCAATTTTTTGTAAGCATTTCTTTCCAAATCTTTATTTCTCTATAAGTGTGACAGTTGTTTTATTTTTCTTTTTTTATTCTTTTTTAAAAAAGATAACGTTTTAATAAGAAGACTTTTTTTCTTCTTATGTTTTAATTTTTTATACAGATTATTTATCCTATTTTTTTTTCTTTCATTAAATATAATATAATAACCTTTCATAATTTTAAAATTTAACTATGTCAATAACTATTAACTAATAAAAATTAGTTAATTAAATGTTAATAG